TGGCTCATCAACTCTCTTTCACCAGCCGTGGCTAACGAGCAGCCAGTGATCGCTCCATAGATTGTAGCGGCAGCCAGTTTGTTTACATCGAGCGCACCACGATCCACGTGCAACAGGTGTGGGAAATTATGTTCCCTTGAAATATTCTGTTTCCCTTAGGCAATCAAGAGCAAATATTTCCAAACTGACAGAACTTAATTCTGAGGACTAAACTACCCCAAATAAAAGATGGTTAAACTGAGTGAGATTACTTCTTTGTACATAACTTTCAAAAATGATAAGTAAGCTTGCTGCAAAAGAGTGAACAAGAAAGTTTTTACTGTAACTTTATTTTTAGGACAACATATAGATACAAAAATCACAAGCTTAACATTATTACATTTTCCCGTAAAAGTTGATCACAAGTGTTGTGAAAATAGCCAGAAGTGTGATCTCCCAACATGGGGGGACAGAATATTTCAGGGGAACAAAATTTCTCACAACACCTGACCTCCTGGCTGATGTCATCCCTCCTCCGTGTGTGAATGGTGACAGCTTCAAGAACAGAACTAGCTTGCTTCCTTCAGAACTGGTTGGTTGATAAACCAGTCATAATTATAAATGCTTTTTTAAAGAGGTTACATAGCTAGTTTTAAGCTTTGTGTGGTTTAGGCTAGGTTGGAAATTGATACAAAATTGATACAATCAAACGCATGAGTGAGCCACCGTATCTGCAAAACTTTCTCTGAACTGCATGGCGCTGAGGAGTCACATATTTTCATCTTGATTTCAATGGATTTCCCACATGGGGCCTTTAAGACCTGGAGCTCACCGTGAGAAAAAATAAAGTTTCTTTTTGTCCCGTTTATGCCTGCTGTGTTTGAGACAGGTGGTGAAATGTGCATTATGCAGTGAGGATAACTGTGATCCGACATAAAAAGGGTGCAAACTGCTCACACCTGTGTAACTTGATGGACGTGCTGGCACCTGCATTTATTTTTGAACTGGTTTATGAGACTTCACTTCAAAAACCTGCAGTGCGTAATGCAGGATCACGACTGTGACGGAGTTGGCTGGGAGTGGCTTGGACTTAAAGGCCAGCCTATGAGTACTAGTGTGCTTACTTGTTCCACTGAAGCATCACAGCAGCACTTATAAAGGGCATTTTGTGCCCCCTATTTAATGAGTTTAAGTGCAATTTTCTCATCCATGTTTTGTATCACCATCTTCCACCTTCACTCCAAAAGGAGCTACTGATCGTTATATGGGTCCTTCTCAAAAAATTAGCATATTGTGATAAAGTTCATTATTGTCTGTAATGTACTGATAAACAATAGACTTTCATATATATTAGATTCATTACACACAACTGAAGTAGTTCAAGCCTTTTATTGTTTCTAATATTGATGATTTTGGCATACAGCTCATGAAAACCCAAAATTCCTATCTCAAAAAATTAGCATATTTCATCCGACCAATAAAAGAAAAGTGTTTGTAATACAAAAAAGTTAACCTTCAAATAATTATGTTCAGTTATGCACTCAATACTTGGTCGGGAATCCTTTTGCAGAAATGACTGCTTCAATGCGGCGTGGCATGGAGGCAATCAGCCTGTGGTACTGCTGAGGTGTTATGGAGGCCCAGGATGCTTCGATAGTGGCCTTAAGCTCATCCAGAGTGTTGGGTCTTGCGTCTCTCAACTTTCTCTTCACAATATCCCACAGATTCTCTAAGGGGTTCAGGTCAGGAGAGTTGGCAGGCCAATTGGGCACAGTAATACCATGGTCAGTAAACCATTTACCAGTGGTTTTGGCACTGTGAGCAGGTGCCAGGTTGTGCAGAAAAATGAAATCTTCATCTCCATAAAGCTTTTCAGCAGATGGAAGCACGAAGTGCTCCAAAATCTCCTGATAGCAAGTTGCATCGACCCTGCCCTTGATAAAGCACAGTGGACCAACACCAGCAGCTGACATGGCACCCCATACCATCACTGACTGTGGGTACTTGACACTGGACTTCAGGCATTTTGGCATTTCCCTCTGCCCAGTCTTCCTCCAGACTCTGGCACCTTGATTTCTGAATGACATGCAAAATTTGCTTTCATCTGAAAAAAGTACTTTGGACCACTGAGCAACAGTCCAGTGCTGCTTCTCTGTAGCACAGGTCAGGCGCTTCTGCCACTGTTTCTGGTTCAAAAGTGGCTTGACCTGGGGAATTCGGCACCTGTAGCCCATTTCCTGCACACGCCTGTACACGGTGGCTCTGGATGTTCCTAGGAAGGGTCGGGTCATCTCTTCTCATTGTGCAGCATTTCCTGCCACACTTTTTCCTTCCCACAGACTTCCCACTGAGGTGCCTTGATACGGCACTCTGGGAACAGCCTATTCGTTCAGAAATTTCTTTCCGTGTCTTACCCTCTTGCTTGAGGGTGTCAATGATGGCCTTCTGGACAGCAGTCAGGTCGGCAGTCTTACCCAGGAATCTTTTGCAGGTGTTTAGAGTTAATTAGTTGGTTCAGATGATTAGGTTAATAGCTCGTTTAGAGAACCTTTTCATGATATGCTAATTTTTTTAGATAGGAATTTTGGGTTTTCATGAGCTGTATGCCAAAATCATCAATATTAGAAACAATAAAATGCTTGAACTATATGAAAGTCTAATGTTTATCAGTACATTACAGAAAATAATGAACTTATGCTAACAATATGCTAACAATATGCAATTTTTTTTAGAAGGACCATAGTGATCAGTTCAGTTAAAGTCATGTTTGTTGTCAAAATTACACATTTTTATTGGTTAACAGTTGTATTGGGAGACTTGCAGAATAATAAGACCCAGCTGATTGCAGAAGGGGATACACACTCTACATGCATATTCCCGATGACAACAAACCATTGACTAATGTTGTTGTCAAGTAAACTGCTACAACATAATTTTAGTCAGCTGCATGTCAGAGGTATGGCTACTGAATGACAAATGGAGGAACATGCTCTTCTCTTTAATTTGCCTAACTAAACTAAAAAAAAGTCTGTGCATCTGGAAAGTATTATAATACTGAAAACAATGGAAATCATAACACTAGAGGCAGTATCCCTTGGGTCTGGTGTTACACTTTTTTCTGTGACTGTAGAGGGGATCCCAAAGGAAGATGACCTTAATTTAATTTAATTTTAATTCTATTCAAAATACATCTTGCTTAAACAGCTTTTTACAAGTTTTTGCATTCCACCTTTAATGACACAATGTGTAGCTTGTACCTTTAACCTCTGGAAATATCCATCAAAATGTTGTTTATAATGAAAAAAATGATGCCACTTTGTTGAAAAAATTGAGAGAAAGAAAATATTTTATATAGCACCCCTCAATAAACAACCATGAGGTGCTTCACAACAACAAGAATGAAAAGAAATATTTAAAAAAATAAATAAATAACTACAAATAAAAAATCATTAAAAACATAATCAAATGAGATAAATAAATAATTGCTATTTAAAAAAGGATGATGAAAATCCATAAGAAGAGGTATCATTGGATCCTGGGAAGGCACAATTGATAGAAAGAGCTGAATAAGGAGAGGGTGGTGATGAAGGCCACGCAAAAGCCAGCTTGTCGGCTTCGTAACATAAAACCGAAAGTTAGGTCTAAAATACATCTGCACGGGTCTCTGGATGCAATGTTTCCTTCAGGCGATGGTAGCACAGGATAGTGATGGGAATTCCGGCTCTTTTTAGAGAGCCGGTTCTTTTGGCTCAGCTCACCAAAAAGAGCCGGCTCTTTCGGCTCCCCAGTGGCTCCTCAGATTTTCTGTTGCGTAGAGTACATTTATAACCAAAATAATGCAAAACTATATGTAAAATGACTTACTATTGTAAAAAAATGCAATATATCAAATTTGTATCATTTCTATGGATTTAGTAAGTGAACACTTTGACAAATCTCCACTTTCCGACTGCTGGCGCTCATTTTCTCAGTCTTCGTCGCACTCTCCTCTCTCTCACTCGCCTTTTTCCTCCTCCTCATTCCCTCTCGTCCCCCTCCACCAGCATGTGCTCTGCTGTGTGTCTGAGTCTGTAATCAGAAGGTTGCAGATTTGAGTCCCGCTCAGTCTGTTGCTGTCGTTGTGTCCTTGGGCAAGACACTTTACCCCCTTTGCCTGCTGGTGGTGTTCGGAGGGACCAGTGGCACCTGTGTATGGCAGACTTGCCTCTGTCAGTGTGACCCAGGGCAGCTGTGGCTACAATGTAGCTCGTCACCACCAGGGTGTGAACGTGTGTGTGAATGGGTGTGTTGTAAATCACCTAGGGGAGTTACAGGACTTTAGGAGGCGCTATATCAAATACAGGCCATTTTAGCATTCTACAGAAGCCCGTGAGGACAAAATGCCTTTACTGATTTGTAGCAAGTGGTTCATAAACGTTGCTTTACACACTACACACAGCACTGACATGCTTGTCATTTTGCTGGAAGTTGAACTTTCAAAACTTGATCTCACAGGGATTTTTGACCCTAATGGCCATCCGTTGGTAAGGTCTTACACAAACACAAAAATACTGCTTTCCTGCAATTATTTTGGTATGCACTGTCCCCTATCGCCAGGGAAAATACACACCATCACTTTAAGAGGTATAACCAGTATAGCAGAAGAAGGCAAAAAAAGAAAAACCGTGGGCTCACCAATGCTGCTAGTCAAGTAGGCTAGTGATGTATGAACCAGACAGATACTGTATCCTGTCATGAAACTGGCTTTACAGATGGGGATAGCATGCATTCCAAATGATCTACTCAATGGAGGTAAAGACGCTTGAACCAACAACTCTTTGAAAGTATTATTCAGATCTTAACAACATATTTCAAAGCCAAAATATCACAGACTTGGACGCCATCCTGTTCAACATTATTTATAATCAGGGCCCAGTTGCTGCTGTTTTCAATTTGATTGTATTTGTTATTATTTCAGAAGGCTAAACAAAAAATTGCAGTTTTGAAATCATTTACAAGCAGTTTTTTATTCTCTTTTGAAGGAATCAAAGAGCTAGACCAAGTGATTGTCGTCCTTTTCACCACACATATGTTCATTGGCGGATTCTTTGGGTTTATCCTGGATAATACCATCCCAGGTATGAAGGAGAAGAAGTAATGACAAAAGTACTGTTATCACCCCAACTCAACTTTGTTCTTTTTCTTCAGGTACCGACAAAGAAAGAGGCATCAACAGCTGGAAGGACAAGGTGCAAGGGGAGAAACTAAACTCTTGTGACTTATCATGCTATGATATTCCATTCTGTGGCAGCGTTTTTAGAAGGTTGGCATTTTTCCGGTACTTCCCCTTTCTTCCTTCTTATAAAACGCCAGAAGAAGCAGCATCCACATGAGGAAAGCAAAACATCAATACATCTACTAGCTAGTTAGCCTAACAAACTTCGGATCGAGTGTGTCTAACGGCAAAATATCAAACAGATTTTGCCAGTGATCCAGCTCCAGAGACTTTTATTACATTTTAATAAACAACTTTTTATTATTAAATACATATTATTATTAAAAACATATTAAACTATTCAAGTAATCATAAATGACCACTTCTTGGGGTAATAGGTTAAACAGGAACTTAAATATATGAACAATCATCCATAAAAAGTGGAGGATTGATTTAAAAATGACTCACTTCAAGCCGATTTCTATTTTCTCATTTAACAAATTGAAACACACACACACACACACACACACACACACACACACACACACACACACACACACACACACACACACAAAGTATAACTGAATTAGCCACAAATTTCCTTTTTTAGGTGGCCACACAATAAAAGTACATGAAACAAAAGGCATTGATGTAACAGCGATATTTTCATCCACCCATCCATTTTCTTCCGCTTATCCTGAGTTGGGTCGCGAGGACAACAGCCTAAGTCGAGAGGCCTCAGACTTCCATCTCTCCAGATATTTTTTTGGGGAATCCCAAGGTGTTCCCTGGCCAGCCGAGAGACTACACTGCAGGCCTTGATGCTCAATTCCAATTTTTTGAGTAAATCAGATTTTGTTGTGTGGCTGTTCACACTATGACTGAAATGCAACATCAAACTCTCTCCAGTGTGAATGCTCCGCTGCACCAAAGCGACCCGTATGCACAAAAAACAAGAGGTCACTCTCAGCGGAGCCGAAACCAGGAGCGGCGGAGTTGTGATGCAATCCTGATCCTGTGGATAAACTGTCGGTGAAAACTTTCACACCTTTTAATTCTTCCATTGTGAATTATTATTCCCCGAAAATGTTCCGGTATTAATTCATTCACGGAGAATCCCCCACTCATGGACACATGTCCATTGTAGCCATAGTCTTTCCACCGTGTGCTGGGTCTTACCTTAGGTCTCCTTCCAGTTGAACGTGCCCAGAAAACCTCACCAGGGAGGCATCCTAATCAGATGCTCGAGCCACCTCAAGTGGCTCCTCTTGATGTGGAGGAGCAGCGGATCTACTCTGAGCTCCTCCCAAATACCCGAGCTTCTCACCCTATCACTAAGGAGAGCCTAGCCACCTTGCGGAGAAAACTCATATTGGCCGCTTGTCTCTGATCTACCCATTTGCAACTCAATACCTCTCGGATTTATATGAGCTGATACTCATCCCAGCTGCTTCACACTCGGCTGCAAACCGCTCCAGTGAAAGCCGGAGATCACGTTCTGTTGAAGCCAACAGGACCACATTATCCACAAAAAACAGAGACCCGATCCTTAGGCCATGAAAATGGATCCCCTCAATACCCTTGCTGCAGTTTGAAATCCTGTCCACTAAAGTTATGAACAGAATCGTTGACAAAGAGCCGATCCACAAGGTCTTGAGTAGAGGTCAGCAGCACACCGTCCCCACTATAAACAGCGTTGGTAGTGCACTGCTTTCCCCTCCTGAGGCGCCGAATGGTGAATCTCCTCTAAGTCATGTAGAAATCTTGCTCCATGGTCTCACTAAACTCCTCCCACACCTGGGTTTTTGCCTCTGCAACCACCCACGCTGCATTCCGCTTGGACTGCAGTTAGCCGCCGCCTCTGGAGTCCCACAGGCCAAAAGGACCTAACAGGACTTTTTATTCAACTTGAAAGCATCCCTAACTGCCGGTGTCCACCAGCGGGTTTGGAGGTCAACAATAATGTGACCTCTGTATAAGATATATTAAAAACACAGGTTTTTGTGTAATACAGAAAACAATGGATGAAACATGGGTTCCTTATTTTATAAGTTATACCAGAAGAATGTAAATTGTTGACTGTTGAACAAAGATCGCTTACTGTCAGAATTATGGATGAGGAGAAGGTTAATTGGGTTACACAAATGCTAAGGTTAGGCTCGGGTGGTTAAGGTGACATTCAGACAAAAACATAAAACTTTTTGATGACATATTTCTACAGTGTGTTTACATGTTTGTACATGTATTTATTTGTGAACATTGAAATTTGATGATGATGACCAAGAATACCTCTTCCTGCACTCAGAATAGGACCACTTTGACACTGAACAAACAAACCCACCGGTATTCAGCTGCATTTTCTCAGAAAGAATTTTGAATCGTACAAAAATCTTATCAATTCAATCCCTTGGAATGATAATGAAAATGTTGGTGTAAACATTTCCTTATTTTAACTGAGCTGTGTTCCGGCCCCTGCCGTTGGGAGAAATGAAGGTCCCATCCAGCTGGCAAACAAATGCTGATGTGCTTTTGTGAACGGAGGATTTGCTGCTTGAGACGTCCCTGCATACGCCCCTCTGCCTCTTCAGTGGCCTGGCTGTTGTGCAGCCTAAGTGCACTGAGTGGCTGCTCCTGTGGGAGCAGGATAAAAGCCTGCCCTAAAGAGTTTCAGGGCCTCACTCCTGAGTAAGGCTGACTTTTTGGAAAATAATCTAATTGCAAGTTTTTTTCTTTGTTACGATCCAGGCTGTCTAGTAGGCCTGGGGTAACAAGGACGACACATGATCGGATATTTAAAAGTAAACAAACAAATTTATTTACACCAAGGAAAAATGAACACAACTGGACTAATCGGCGGCAACTAAAATAGTAACATAAAATAAACTCTACTTAGCCAATATACCTACAAATCAGGGAACCCCCTGCACATAAAAGACGCAAATTGGCTAAACGAGATTAAAACAAAAGCACACAGAGGAGCCAACAGGACAGAGACCACATGTCCAGCCTGTTGCTCCCTGATGATAAGGGCTGGGTGGCTTTTATGCAGAGTCCTCATTCAACTGCTGATTGTCATTGCCACCAGCTGGGACTTCAGGGTGGGGCCGGACAGGTGTGGGAGAAGCCAGGTGCTGCAAAACAGCTCCTCTCACACAAGAGGGATAAAACAGAGGAGTAAGAAATGAAATAAAAACATAAATGGCACCAGCCATAACATTCTTCAATGTTGCAATTCACGATTATTTTATCATTGGGCTTTTCTCATATTTTTCAACTAACAAAAGCAAAAATAAATCTGTGCAACTTATACTAAATGTACCGTAAACAAGTGTATGCATTTACATATTTATCTACTTATATCTACAAGTTTACTTGTCTACACATACATAAACACTCACAAGTAAAAACAAAGTTTTGTATTTGAAGGTGCAATGCTATGCAGCTAGGAGCACATCCATTGAAGGAGCATAGGTATTAGCATCAATTGTGAAAATCGATTTGCTGGAAAGAAGTTTGTCCCATTTATTGAAGTCTTTTGTGTTTAGAGTTTTTAACGTCTTGTCCATGCAGAGCTTCCGTAGTTCAGTTACATTCACAGCTGATAGCCAAAACTCAGTAGAGTTGAAGTCTCTTACAGTTTTCTAGCTTTACTAAAATACCTGTCTGTGCTTATTTGATTGATGGCAGTTTTTACTTTTTATTAGACTCCAAATATAATAATTTGGCACGCTCCTCATTTGTAAGAATGTAATCGGCGATATTAGCATTAGCATCCCTTAGGGTTTTTCCATGTATATTAGCACTGTGCTAACCACTTGCTGCCAGTCAAATCACAGCCTTTGCAAATCTCCTTCTGTCACATCGCAGTTTTATTGTATATGCCATTAATCAATCAGCTCTACTCCTGAGCTCACTGCAGAGATCAGAGTAAGTGTAGAGATTACTTCTGGAGTTACTGGTTGTGTGGCCAATCATGACAATAATCTAGAACTTTCTGCATAATGGACGTTTATGTGTGGGACTAATGGCTGGTGACAAGCCTTACAGATTTACTCTCAGGTGGAGCATCAAATCGTCTGCTTTGATGTCAAGCCTGATACTTAAAACTTTATTGTTATTGTTTTTTGAATGCTTTATAATTCCAACCAGACACAGATACAGATGTGAAAGAGAAAGGAAGATGGGGGGGGGGGTCCAAAATAATAAACAATCAATGACGAACAAGAGTCTGCTTCTAGACCTGCAGAAAGAGAAAGACTAACAATAACAAAGGACACACAACAATACAAGAGCAAGCTATCACTGCATCAACCTGATGAGGAAATATAAAAACATTGTTTCACTGAACAATCAGACGTTAATAAATCACAGTGCATTTACGGCCTTAAAGGCCCCATGTGTGAAATCCATTGAAAACATGATGAAAAAATTTGACTCTTTAGCGCCGTGCAGTTCAGAGAGTATTGCAGATGCGGTGGCTCACTCATGAGTTTGATTGTATAATCAGTTTCCAACCTGTGTAGCCTAACCCACACAAAGCTTTAAACAAGCTATGCGACCTCTTTAAAAAGCATTTATAATTATGACTGTTTTAACCTACCAGTCCTAAAGGAATTAAGCTAGTTCTCTTAGATCTTGAAGCTGTCATGATGCACACACGGAGGAGGGGTGACATCAGCCGAGAGGTCAGGTGTTGTGAAAAATTGTGTTCCCCTGAAATATTTTGTCCCCCTGTGTCGGGAGATCGCACTTCAGGATATTTTCACAACATTTGTGATCAACTTTTACGGTAAAATTATGCAATGTAATGTAATAATGTTATGCTTGTGGCTTTCATCTATGTTGTTCTAAAAACAATAAAAAAGATACAGTAAAAACATTCTTGTTCACTCTTTTGCAGCAAGCTTATTTATCATTTTTGAAAGTTATGTAAAAAGATGTAATCTCACTCAGTTTAACATCTTTTATTTGAGGTAGTTTAGTCCTCATAATGGACAATAAGTTCTGTGGATTTGGAAACATTTGCTCTTGACTGCCTAAGGGAAACAGAATATTTCAACACCCGTTTCACGTGGATCACGGTGTGCTCAATTTAAACAACCTGGCTGCCGCTACCAGCTTATATGAATATGGAGCTATCACTGGCTACTCTTTAGCCACGGCTGGTAGAGGGTTGGTGGGCCGGAAACATGCTGTGGAGGTCAAGTAAATAATGTTGACTTATCCACCAGCTAATCGTGGCTCACGGCTGGCGTAGAGGAGATCAGCGTCAAGAGCTACTAGTTATGGGCTCGACACACGGGAGGCGACAAACGACCGCGATCAGCGAAATTTGTCTCTGTCGCTTTTATTACCTGTCACACGGGAGGCGATCTGCAGTAGCGGCCAGCGGCAAAACCGTCTACGCGTTCTGTTCCATGGCGAAATCGAAACTTCCGTTGTTTTGTTTGGCTGTGTCAGGTTGGAGGGAATTAAGGTTATTTAAGCGGTTCAGAGTTAATAAAGTGGTAGATATGATGTTTCACAAGGTGCTGCTAGAGTTATGTGAAATCTTACTTCTGATTTTACTGTATAAAACATAATAATAATCAACTTCTCCTTCATGTTTGCTCGGAGATGTGCGGAGCATCCTGTCCGCTCATTGGTCAGTGAATGAAACCTCTGTTGATTGGTCCTCGCTCGAGCGACAGCGATGAAAAGTTGAAAATGTTTCAACTTTCTGGGATCGCGTCGCTGGGTCGTCCGTGCACGACACGTGCACGAGTGCAAACTTTCACACGCACGTTTTTCGCGTTTCGCTCAGTAGGAGAGAGACCCGCGATTATCGCTTTGTCGTGCATGTCTCATTGAAAATGAATGGAGGAGAGGCGATGTCGCCTCCCGTGTGTCGAGCGCATTAGCCATGGCTAGAGCGGGGAGATGCTGTGTGTGCTGCGTGTTGTAACGTGAGGAAATATGGGTTATCTGTGCCAAAGGTTTCATTTGACTCGGCTGGGTCAAAGCTGGGTCGCTGAGAACTTTCACCCACAGATCAAGACCTGAACGCCCGCGAGTCTGGGAGAAACCATAACATCTGAACACCTGCAGTGCCAGAAGATGTGTTCTCATGGAAAAGCTAGTCATAACATAACAAAGTCTTAAACTTCCTTTCCTTTATTTTAAGTTGTTAAATGATCAGTATTATCACTTTGCTCATTATAAATGTGTTTTAATCAAATGAATGATTATTATGCTTTGGGTAATCATAATAACTAATGAATCAATGCTTAATTAAATAATGTTTTGAAGATGTTTGGTAACGACCTTCACACACTCAAACACTCACTCAAACACTCACACACACACACTCTCTCACAGTAAACTCCAAAACACATTTGCTCTGACGCACAAGTTTTGCTTTGAGAAGAGAAAGGCTTTTGGTAAGTTTTCAGTTCATGATTCAGTTCGGTGTTTGACAACCAAAGAGGGAGGACTTGTGAACAACGCCAACGGGCAATGGGGCTGCGGCTCCTCCCCCACCCCCCCACCCCCCCACGCTGTTCCTGCCAAGCCAGACAGGAATAGCTGAATTGCAACCGCTAACGCAGACTCATCCAGAGTCTTTGATTTTCTGAGTAAATTAAACTTAAGAAAGCGCATCTGCAAACGCTTCATCATCACGTGTACCGGGGGCATCTCTGGACCGGATCGGCGGACACCTTCGTCTTCTCTGCCAGCCGAGGTGCCCTGGATGAAACATTGTCCTTTGACGTTCCGGATCTGAACGAGGGTCCTTGTACGGTGAGGCAGAACACAATAGATAGTGTTTGATGCATCTTTTCCAATGAAACCTAAGTTTATTCAAACCATCACTTTTCACTCAGACACCTGTTTCTTCCTGAAGCAAAATCAGACGCACACACGCATTCATCTCACCTCATTTTCAATTCTCACACATTCAACATAAGGTCTATTTGAGCAAGCTTACAATATCAACTGTTAAAGATTGTTCAACAAAGTTGCCAATGTTGATTGTTATTTGCTATGCTTGTCATTTCAAAATCATTAGTTTAATTTGAAGAATAAAATCTTTTAACTTTCAAACTTGTCGTTCCGGTTATGGCACGAGGCTGAACGGACGCATGTGAGAGCTCCCGTGAACAACTATGCAAAGTGACCTGTCTAGTACCTGTATTCGATTTAAAAAACCTCTCTAATATATAACCAGTGAATGTGTGGCTGAGATGGCGCCGAATTTGGACAAAAATACACTAAGAATGGCGAAGAACGAGCCGGGCCCAGACCCATGTGAGGCAGCTGCGGTGGCAAATGCTAGCGACTCTTCAGAAGCTGGTAGCTCAGACCGCCTGCCGGAGGCTAGCAGCTCAGACTTTATACTATCAACACTTCAAACGATGAGAGACGACTTCATATCGAGGTTTGACGGACTCCTAAAGGCAATACAGGGAGTCCAAACAGAGCTCAAGGCGATGGCAATACGAGTCACGGAGGCGGAAGGTAGAATAAGCACCAACGAAGATTACATTGCTTCTATTCAAGCTGAGAACGCGGACATGAAAGCTATTGTCAGAGACCTGACGCTTAAAGTTGATGACTTAGAAAACCGGACTCGCCGATCCAATCTTCGTATTTTGGGTATTCCTGAAGGTAAAGAGAAGTCAGACGCCTGTGGATTTCTCGAGAGTTGGCTGCCGGAGGTGTTTGGTGCAGAAACATTCCCCCGACCTGTGCAAATCCAACAAGCCTACAGGCTGGGACGTGTCGGTGAAACAGCAGGAGCTGGAGCGTCCAACCCCCGACAGGCTACTCAACCCCGTGTGATGTTGGTGAAACTTCTGAATTATGCTGACAAAACACGGATAATGAACGCAGCACGACTTAAAGGTACCATACTTTTGGACAATCAGAAAATAATGTTTTTCCCAGATGTGTCGCCTGAATTACTCAAGAGGCAAAAAACTTTTACTGCGGTGAAGAAAGCTTTGGCCTCTCTTTCCATCCCTTCTCTGAGATATGGAATTGTGCATCCTGCGAGGCTCCTGATTACCTACAAGGGAAAATGTCACAACTTTGATGATGCAGCTGCAGCAGAGAGGTTTGTGCAAGAACTAAGAAACCAACAGCAGTAATGGTGACTTACTAGATGAACAGATTAAGACTATCATTTAAGGCTGCTGCTCAGCTCTGTGTTGGAATGATAAATTAATATATGTTTGGTTTTGAAACTCAGGATACTTGTGCAAGGTTAATGTGGAATTTTGAATGGGGGCCCCGTGGTCTACTTAGCCTGCTGCTCCTCCTATGCAGAGGATCGGCACAGCTCCATGGCAAGGCTCAGAACGGAGCCTAATCAGATGCAGATTAGGTCAGGGAGGGTGGGGGAATGTTTGAGGGGTTTCAGGTGTTTTTTTTTTTTGTTTTTTTTTTTTGTTTTTTTTGTTTTTTGTTTTTTCTCTCCTGCAAAGTCACTTTATATCTTGTCATCTATGTTGTATGTTACTTATAGATAGCTCAAGTGATGACTGAGATTCAATTTACATCATGGAATGTCAGAGGTCTCAATAAATTTATTAAATTAAAACAGGTTATGAATCGACTCCAACAACTGAAAGGGAAAATTATATTTATTCAAGAAACCCACCTGATTAAGGAACATGTGATCAGAGTCAGCAGAAGGTGGCCAGGCTGGGTGTTTTCTGCTTCAGCCAGCTCTAATGCTAGAGGGGTTATAACACTTATAAATAGATCCATTCCTTTCAAACTTGTAAATGAAATTGGAGACAAATTCGGGAGATATACTATTATTGAATGTGAGATCTCGTCTGTTAAAATAAATTTGGTGAATATCTATGGGCCTAACAATGACAATCCTGAGTTTTTTAGACAACTGTTTATGACACTAGCAACTTTATCGGGTCATTTCATAATAGGTGGAGACTTTAATTGCACATTGCAGCCTTACTTGGATAGATCCACTGGAATTGATATGTCCCATTCTAATACTAGAAAAGAAATACTCCAATTGATTAAGGACTTTAATCTGGTAGATATTTGGAGGTCTAAAAATTTAACCCAGCGATCTTATTCTTGCTACTCTGGTGCCTCTAGAAGCTTCTCTAGAATTGATTACTTTTTGATTTCATCTGACCTGATTTCTATTACTACAGAATGCTGGTATGATTGCATCCTTATTTCTGATCATGCTCCACACTCTTTTCTTTTAAGATTTACAGACTCAATAATACGTCCTAACCAATGGCGTTTACAGCCTATATGGCTTAGAGACCCAGGCTTTATTAAATTTATAGGTGAACAAATAGATCTGTACTTTGATAAAAATACTGATGAAACATCTGCCCATAGGCGTCATTTTAACCGGGGACGCCGGGGACATGTCCCCGGCAAAATTTGTGATTGGCAACTGTGTCCCCCCACTTTCAAAAAAGCCTGCCTTTACTGTCCCCAGCAATTTTTAAACCCCACTCAAGTGAATGGTTATTGTCCCCAGCAATTCTGAAAACAAACTGACGCCCTTGCATCTGCCTCAATAAGGTGGGAAGCTTTTAAAGCATTCCTGAGAGGTCAAATGATTAGCTATACGAGTTTTAGAAATAAAAAGGAGACAGTGCAAATGGCTAAATTAGAAAAATTAATAAAAGAAAAAGAAACAAAGTTCTTCCAAAACCCAAGTGGCACATTGACTGCTGAACTTAATCAATACAAAGCAGAATATAGCCTGCTTTCTACTAGAAAAGCTACAACAAGTCTTCTCAAACTAAAACAATCTTACTCACTGCAAATTATCTGGCACTTGCCAATATTTAAAATCCTATTTTTAGACATGCCAGGTAAGTTGGCTTGTTTTAAAAATAATTTACTAGTTTCTAATACTTGATTTTAGATAATAATCTTAAATTAAGGAAAATCCTACAATTTTGTCTATAATAGTAAATAAATCCTAGAAAAGAAAAGAACTAATCTTAAAATAACATACAATGGGTCTCTCAACAGAGATTCATCAAAATATAACTAGTTTCAAGATCCAATGACAAATTAAATTTGCTTGATTTAAGAAACACACCTCTGTCAAACATGATTTATTCTGCTTTGGTTTTAAACTCACACATGAAACAGAAAACATTTAACCACAACAGATGATACAAATCTCATTTCAGACAACTGTACACTCTACCAGCATGCCAGTATTATTGTTAAACAATAGATACATAGACATTGGTTTAGGAAACATTTAATGACCAATGTTTGTCAGCTGATACAGAGAAAACAACAGTGAGCCTTTATGCACAGCCCTAATTTTAGGGATTATTTTTATGTGAAATAATATCACAAAGATTATATTTTATTGGAACAAACACACTTTCCCTGAAACTAATAGAACAATATGAAGTATAATCAATGAGCTCATGTGCTAATTCTGTAGCTTGGGCAAGAGTGGGCACAGCTACTTCATATGCCAGTAAGTCTTTATTTAAGTTCAAAGTGTCATAGCGCTGGTACTCGAATGCAATAAAAGATGAATCGATCAAAAAGATATCCTTTATCAGTCCAAACACCGGAAAAGTGTCATTCACATCTGCAATAACCATAGACTTTCCAGTAATGTACTTGTTGCCATTGAGAACATACCATTTCACAGACACGACAGATTGCATGACCTCTATTCCCAAAAAATCTTTAATTTTTTTCTTAACGTATTCAATATTTTTAACAGCTGACACAGGCCCCGACTCCTTTTCATTTGCAAAAATAGGATGTTCCGTGCCTAATTCATTCTGACACCACTCAAGATACTGATTGTGATTTGCTAGCGATTTACAAACATTTTTAAAATTCAACTTAGAAGCCCACTGTTTAAAATAGGAGTGCTTAGCCTCAAAGCGCATGCACATACTCCTTATTAAAGGTCCAAGAGATAAGATTTGACTGGGAAGATGCAACATATAATGTTGCTTGGGTATTATGTTGGCTTCAGGGAAAAGTGTTTTGAACTGATACAGATGTTCTTCAATCATACTTTTCAGTTGCAATGCAGTTTGTACAGAAATAATGGGAGCAAGAACTATTTGAACAATCTCAATTAACTTCCTAATAAATATACCATAGTCATTGTCCACATCATACAAAAGAAAGGGTAATATTTTCAATAGAACTAGCATTTGCCCACAAGACTGTTTCAGTTTGTTGTCATTAGCTGCTAAAGTGCCAAAACTAATAGGACATGGTTTATCTCGTATTTCATGCGGTGAATAAGGAAAATTTTGAATGTCTGAATTAAACTGATCTAACTCCAACTGTCCTGAGAGAATGAGATGTTTTAATACTAATTTAACTTCCATTGGTGCAACACCTTCAAAAATAACATGCATTATGTCCTGGGGAGTTTGTTTGATCAGGTCAAATGCAGGAAGATCAATTAGCCTGCTCCTTCTATTGATTCCATATGTAGTTTTGAGGGAGGCTTTCAGTGAATCCGTCCTTGCTTTATCTATTTCTAAACACTGCCTGATGTGTTTTTTCAAAGTTCTTTCAACAAACTTCCTCTCATCAAAAAATGTTTGCATATCCTCAAAGTTGCATTCACAGTGTCGAGCAGGGAGAAAGGGCTGGAAAATTTTTAGCTTGGCAAATCAAACAGGTACAGAGTGAGAGGGCAGTGGCGGCTGGTGAAAAATATTTTTGGTGGGGCTGTGCTATTTTTTTATTTTTAAACAAACTTGTGCTTTCTGAGCTTTGTGCACAACTTCACTATTTCCTGAATTAAGCACAGCTCTTTTATTTCCTGTCTTACATCATTGGACAAACTGATTAATCCAGGTGTGTCTGACTATTGGCACGCTGCCTTGCAGACCAAGGTTGAAAAATACTGCATTAAATTGCACATAATATTATGGAAGCCCATTCCCGCCACTCAGATAAAATAAAAAAAAATTATTATCTCATAATTATGACTTAGCTATCTAATAATAATGAGATACTATCTCATTATTATGACTTAGCTATCTCATAATTATGACTTAGCTATCTCATTATTATGAGATAACATCTCATTATTATGACTTGATTATCTCATTATTTTGAGATAGGATCTCATTATTATGACTTAGGATCTCATTATTATGACTTAGGATCTCATTATTATGACTTTGTTTCTCATAATTATGACTTAGCTATCTCATTATTATG